GTGTGTGTGTGTGTGTGTGTGTGTGTGTGTGTGTGTGTGTGTGTGTGCACTTCTCTTCCTGTGACTACCCTGTCTTGTCGTAATATTGTTTATGATGTGTTGTTCTATTAATTATTTTATAAATGCTGGTTACGTTGAAAATCCAATGAATAAAGTTAAAGAAAACAAAAACAAGCTTTTTGGAGTGACCGTGTCCCTCATTAATCTTGCTTGAGAGGTTTTACAGAGGTTCTGGTTCACTCCAATAAGAAATGTGGTATTAAAGTGGTATTAACTGTACCAAACTATTAAGACCTTCTGGGTGTAAAAGTGTGGGGAAAAAAAGATTAAAGTATAAACTTTCCAAGGGTCCTTTCCTTGCCTTTTAACTTTCAATCTTGTCATTGCAGGGGGAACTTGGATCAGATGGGAAAAAGGGAATCGATGGGGAGAAGGTAAGTACTTCTATCTCCAGCAGACATATATTCCATACATAGCACATCAGCCAGATCTAGTTTCGTCAGGGAATCAATTCTTATAGGTTTTTCATTTTCTGTGCGATGCCCCGGGGGTCGGAGTAAAGCGCAGCTTTCTGTGTGGCTGTTTTCAGGTGCTTGTCATATCTGAAGTGGATCTAAGTGTGTTTGAGCCTGCAGTGTCCTTCTGTAGTGAAATTAATTGATATGTATGCTACCATAGACTTTGCATATTAATGGAATAACCTAATTTTTCAAATTACCATAGTCCCTTCTATGTCATTTCAGGTTAAACTTTATTGCTTGCTCCTAAATCTGGCTGCTGTGATGAAACTAATGTATGTACAGTAATGTGAACCACGACAAGAAGTGCCAGTAAACAATTCAATTTCTTCTTCCACTTAATGCAAATGCACTAGAAGTGATTTACTATTCTTCTTCGGTCTTAGTGAAGTTCTTTTCGCCAAAAGCAAATGAGTGCAGTCCTTCTAAAGTATTAGTTAAATTAAAGTATGTTTTATGTTGCACAGCATTTGTTTGCCCAACATGTCACCCTCTCAGTAGATGGTAGCTGTGCAGATGGTCAGTTTAAAGTGGCTCAATAAAGAGACTTTCTTTTCATCACCATCACCCCCTTGAGTAGAATAACAGCTGCCCCAGAAATCAGCCTCCCTGCAGGCTGCGGATGTGCCCTAACAGTTACTCTGAGAGAAGGCAGAAAAGAAAGCCAGGCATAAACATAAGTATGTACAGCTGAAGGAGTATTGACCTACAGTGTACTAGAAGTATACGTACTTGGTATTCAAAAAATAGGAAGAATGCACTAAAAGTAAATTTACAGGAGTGCGTAGGTTCCCAGAAGAATCAGTTCATAAATTTACATAGTAAAATAGAACATAACCTGCTGCTGTACAGTGACTTGTGAAATTCTCTATGAATTTGTTTTTAGGATTGCAAGAAAACACACACTGCTGCTCACATCAGCAGAATTAGAAATAGTGATTCTATTTTGCATTTTGCAACAGAAACAAATCGTTATGTTGCGTTAAAGGTTAAGCTACTGGTGACGTGAAAGGGAAGGCAGCTTACCGTTACTGTGCTCCTCATTAAAGAGAAGGAGGATGTTGGTCAACTTGGAAGGATCAGATCAGACAGGATAGATTCTGTACTTCTTGCTTTCCACCAGTATATCCCTTAAGTGCAATAATTGAAGTGAAATTCAGATTAAAGGAAGAAGAAAATAATTGATTCCAAACTCAAGCATTAGTATGTCCTCCCACCACCAACATGGCTCTCTTTGTTCCAAGGTAAGTAGCAATTTGCTGCTTAAAAAGCCAGTTGACGTCATGTGTGTATTTGCATATGAATGACACAATCAGGTTTATTTACATAGCAATTTGAAGTAGAGCAAGACCACCTACCTGGAAATTTAACTCCATCTACATTAGAAATGGACTGATTTGTAGTTATAATATTAAATGGGAACTGTAACGTGAGTGTACATGCTTCCTCTGGTTTAATTTCACTGATTGCTACTGGTTCTACAGCAATCAGGAGGAAACAGCGACAGAGCTTGTGAGCAGCCTTTGTTTGTTCGCTCACTGATTCACCCTGGGCTCCAGTCGACTGGACAACAGCGGTACATAGACTGTAAAAACAGCTGGAAGCGTGTGCACTGTGAAGAGACTGTGTTGATGACCCTTGTCCAAGAAAAGCAGCTGCTCAAAACTTAGTCGAGGTGTCAACAGTTGATGTTATTTGCTAAATTGCATTTCAGTATATCGAGTGTGTATGGGGAGGCAGGGGTCTTGACCAAGGGTGTGCTGACAGGCCGGTCTGCTCCCTTCTGCTCTCTTTGTGTGTGGGGGCATCATCGTTAGTGGTGCTCAGTTGGAAACTTTGTCACCAGAAATGAGATTCTTGTTATTATGTCCGTATTCAGTCAGTGATTAGAAATACAGAAAGGGACAGTTCCAGTTTTCAGAGGTGACTTTTTTTTTTGCATCCCAAATGGGCGGTTGGGCTTTCTTTGGTCATGCTCACATGGCACAACATGCATATCCTATAGGGATTTATTATACTGTGCCTCATCCTTGACCGATTTGAAACAAAGTTGGGACTACATTTTGGTAGCATTTCCTCCAGCAGGCTTGTTTGTCCAGCATTAAGCACCCATAATGGATAATAATGGATAGCTCTGGGTATGGTTAGCCTAGCGCAAAGACAGCCAGTCTAGCTAAATCAAAAGTGAACAAAAAGTGCTTGAAAAAGGCTGTATCTTGTCAGATAGCAGGCCAGTTGCCAACACATTTAGGAGTCACAAGGGATTTGTCTTTGAGCTTAGTTAGGCTAAACATGGCTTGGACCTGCTTTTATCTGGAAGCACAGAGATGACATTGACAAGGTGGTTTTTATAGGGATAGTTTGGGTGTTTTGAAGTGGGGTTGTATGAGGTAATCATCAGTGTATTACCTTCTATAGATGGCGGTTGGCACGCCACCAGTGAGGAGAAAAGTGCAGGAGCAAAGCAATATACTGCTGTGGACAGGGCCAGCTGCAAAACACATTTTAAACACCTAAAGAAAAAAGCCCGCCTAAAAAAACTCAATATCTGTTTAAGTCTTTGCTGCATGTTGAATATTTTCACCCTATTATCTTGCCGTCAGACAGCCCTTTTTGACGGGGAACTGAACTGTAAGAAAAGCTTTTCTATTCTCTCTTTAAAGCCACAAGACTTTGTTGACAAAAACAGTAAGTTTCACATTTGCATGTCAAAAAATATAAGTTTATATTTCCATTACCTGCATTAACAGATTTGTTTTTGGACACTTGGTGGGAGCGGAAACAAGCTGTAAATATATCAAAAATGGCATACAGCAGTATCGCCTTTTAAGTTTATATGCCAAACTTGATGGTAAACGGTTGCTTGCTTACACATACGGCAGTTACAGACTATCAACCTCATGAATTCAAGTCCATTCGCCACTCTCCCTCTGTATGTGTTGTAATCCGACCTTCGTCGTTCTTTGTTGACAAAACCAGGCCGGCCGTGCGTGCTTTTAGTGCGTGGTCCTGCATGTTAGCGTGCCTTAATGGCTAGCTCACCGCAGCTCTGCACTACGCTCATAAGGCGTTACAGCTGATAAGTCTGTCCCAACCAATGGGGTCAATGCGGAAACGTAGCACCCTCCTTCTGGTTCCCCGTCAGTTAACTCTTTTGTCGATGTTGGCACTGATAGCACCGTTAGCACCGTTATCTGCAAGTAGCTCAGCCGTTGCCATGTTGAGAGCCGTTGAGAGGCAATAGAAATGCACTCAATCTCGTATGCGACACCTTTTAAGCAGTCAGCAGGGCAGGTACAGAAGCATGCAGTAGGTATTTAGTGCATTTTTTGCTGGAAATGACGGATGCTAAGAACGGGGAGAGTGAACCAGAACAGTAACGTTGTGGACAATAAAACCAACCAGAGCTAATAGACTCTAAAGTCCTCTGTAGAGCTGAGGGGAACAACAAAGTAGGCTAATATTCTCTGTTGGTTTGTCACCCAGAACGACTCCTTTCACATTCAATTAGTGACTCCGTTGTTAATATAGAAATATTGATTCTAGCCGCTTTCAAGTGAGGAGATTAACCAGAATTTGTCATTTCCACCTTTAGTGTTTTTTTCTAAGCAAATAATTCCAGCATACATTTTTGCCATTTATCCCAATTGATGCATTTTTCTTGTATGCATCCTCCTAGAATTTCAGTGGAAACCAAGAAAATCCACGATTTAACACATTCTCCCCAACCGTGAAATTGTAGCATTATTAGCAGTATTAGTCTTTTTCACAGCTGTTCTGTTTTTCTGTGATTTATTTGATTTTTTTGACCTAACCCTTGTATTTGATTTAGATTAATTTGAAGGCAGGACACGTAATAAAATATATGAGGTAAACTAGCCCAATGTTTTATCAGTGAGCATGGAGCAGGACAGGATTAATGGGTTAAAACCAGTACGCCCAGTGACTCTGTAAGTGAGTGAATGAGGTTGAGCCTCAGCGACTAAATAAGGCTGCCCCTTCTTAACCAGTTAATCACTTACAGTAATCAGTTCTAAGAGACTTGAGAAAGCCCAAAAGACATTATTTGCAAAATCTGCAGATGTTCCGGTCTGTAATGTAGATATCGAACAGAGCTATTGACTGTAGCTTGCTTCCTTCAGGCCTGTAAAACTGTGAGAGCCTTATTTAATATTATGAAAGGTGGATCAGGTGGTCATATATCTAATTAACATATGATAAAATGATACTGCTACACATAATTGTATCTGTCATCAAGTAGTGGTTGACTGATTTGATTTAGTTTCAGTTACTTCAATATTGATAAAAAGCTCAGCCAGTGACTTGAATGCTGCTGTGTCTTTGAATGCTCCCGTTGTAACATATAATTCAACTTTAACTTCAGTAAATTGGGGTTGTAATGCTCCTTGCATTTGAAAAGGAAGCATGCAGGGAGCAAGAAGAAGACAGTAAGAACAGCAGAAAACACGTAGGTTACTATCTTGTAAACAAATTTAAAAAAAATGGATGTTGCACAAATAAACCTTCTTGATGATTTCAGTTAACCTATTTACTGTGAGACTCTAATACCCGATGTGTCCCTTTACTGCAATTTGCTCATATTCCATTTTTAAAGCTAGTATGTTATTTCAGGCGCGAGTAGACACCTGAGAACCCAGAATTCTATGTATGAGCATGTGATCTAGTATCATTTTGCAGATACACGTCCTGTGGGGACAGAGGGAGCGCACACCATGTTGTCTTGTGGGTAATCCAAGTTACATTTGTGGATACATGTTCGGTCGCAAAGTGAAGTGTTGCAGAAAAGTCAAACATTGCTGGCAGAACATGATATCTAGAGGATCTCTGACAGTGAACTCTGATATCCTCACACAATGGCCCTTTTATTTAGGTTACCTTGGAAACTGTATACATTCATAGAGTGTAAAAAGACATGCTATTAAGCGACCTTCGTCACCACTCTATGGGATTAATCTTATATCACCACACTGTATGCGGTGGTGTATCGCTGAGCAAATGGAATGTCACAAAAGGCATTTCCTGCTGTAACCTCCCTGGCATTTGTAGGCCGGCACTCAAGATATCTATGTTACTTAGAGATCCTGTTCCAGCCAGCTTTAACGGCCTGTCATTCAGTATTACAACATTTCCCCACCAGAATGTTCGGAATACATACAGTAGTACATCTACAATTTTTGATTTAGCCTCTCCCTAATAGGCCAAACCCAGGTTGTGATTAAATTGTGTACAGTAACTGAAACCTGCAATTATTCTACCTCTGTCAGACGAGGGCAGTGACCTGCAGCGGCTCTGACTGGTAAATGGTAGAAGTAAACATAATTAGACTGCATTTGTACATCCCCGCTTCTCTCTTGCTTTAGTGCTCCTGTGCTGGGGAGTTGCCAGATTGTCTTGTGGCCTCACCGCTACAGGAGTGACGAGACACAGTGGTGTGTGTAATTAGCAGGCAAGTGTACACAGCTCCCCACAGTGTTCTGACCTCGTGCTGCAGAAACAGACAGCCACACAACCTGCACCGGCATATTCCCAGCCCCTTCATCCCTCCTTCAAAACAGTGTCGTTTAGATTTACATCTCAGTTATTGCTTTGCAAACAACCACATTCAGTCATTTAGATTTTAAAGAATCCTTTTTATACTTTAAGATGAACTCATCCCTTGGTAATATAATAAGAAGTATTGCCTTGTTTGTAAAGATCAAGTGATAAATGAGTTCCTAGATATTTCTTGCCACTACTGTGTGTGTTAATACATGGATGTTGGTCTCGAATAGTCTCGTATAGGTGCGTAGCAAATATTGTGATATATGACATAATTCAAATATAAGGTATGTTTTCCCTATCTATCTCAATCAATTAGACATCTAGTTTTGCTATTATTTAACTGATACCAAAACACATTTATTATTTCTAACACCTTATTTCACTTGAACAACATAAGAACGAGTCTTTTAAAATGATCTATATGTGGAGGCTTGGAGAAGGGAGAACGCGAGGATAAGAGAGTGTTCTGGCACAACTTTACACAGTGACATAAAGAAAATTGGTAGGTAACACTTGACTGCACAACTTTGAACAATATTTGCAACAGTGACAACAAGCAAGTCTTTTTTAAAAAGAGTCGATTTTGGCCCAGGGGAAACCTTGTCGTGTGTAAATTAGAAAAAACAAATGTTTGTTTATAATGTTGAATTTCTGCTCTCCTGAAGTTGTACAAATTGAAACCTTCTGTAATTAGGTTAATTAACATATAGTATACTTACATATATATTATTAAACAGCATTACATTCCCCACAGTGAATCATCACATAAAAGTGAAAGAAACAAAAAATATATTTTAAATATTCAAACACAAACTCTGGTGTATGACCATGGCTGTGGGAAAAGGAGACAATTAGAGCAAAAATATTTTGTGTGTCCCTGAGTAAGATTTAATGCTAAATTTGCAAGGCTGCCAAGAGCCTTCGCCAAAAAAAGTGAGGGCTCACTTTTAATTGCGCTGGTTGTCATTATGGATATTACTACAGACAAGTCCAGATGCTGTGCAGTTCCACAGGTTCTATCAATGACAATACTGCAATCTTTGAATTATCTGAAGAATCACACAGTTGAGCCAAGTTTTTTTATCAAAAACACTAATTTGTCGAAGTCAAAGCGTCTTTTGTCATAGTAAATTAACAACCGCAAGCACACATGGGAATTTGAGGATTACTCAGCATAAGTTGAGAGAGTGCATTGTTAGGATTTTGGCAAACTTAATAAATTCTCGAGCTTTTATGTAAAACTGCTTTGTTGACTCTTGTTATTAAAATATTTACCAGCAGGAAACTTTTATTTTCTGGCACACATATTGGCCACGGCAGTTGCAAAGTTTAGCTAAATTGTAAAACACGGGAAGCGACTGTCATTCAATATGTGGTGAGAGAGGGACTTTTCTTTTGACTGACCTGTATTTGGTTTCCGATAAGGACATGTGCCCTGAGAAACATAACTCACCACCCTGCATGAGTTCTTCCCATGCATTAGTTTGAATCATGGTAGTTCCATGTCAACAGGGAAAGCATAACCTTAAATATTTATGATTTATAACAGAACCCAATAGTATTGTTAAACTGGATGTATAGTAGCTCCAGCGATTCATTTAAAGCAGGTGTAGTTTTAGATTTTTTTTTTCCAGTGGTCAGCTTTTTGCAGGATACTTATGTTGAGGTCATGTATATACTGTATAGTAAAATAATAATTCCCTCTATCTCCGAACGGAGTTTAAGCACCACTTCAGATGAATTGCAAGCATAATTTAATAGATGATGCTGAAATATTTACGTCTACATTACTGTAGTGAATAATGTGTAGTAGTGTTGTTTTGTAAGTGTGTTTAAAGCTTCGATTGGGAACAAACGTCACAATAACAAGAGGAAACCACATAATGACTGTAAAAGGATCACAATAACAACAAGACATGTTTATTAGGACACTTTTCACCAACAACAACGAGACAAGCTCTCCTGATTACAAAAATGGTGGCAAATTTCTCACAAGATTAATCAAAACCTCTTCTGTAATTGACAGAACCTGAAGTTGTTTACGAGCTTGTTATCAGGTGAGCTTTGTAGTCTCCTTCGTTTCTGCCTCAGCTCTGGTAATAACTCAGAGGGGAATTTGCGTCTGGATATCCTCGTGTCAGATTGCCCCAGTAAAGCGGTTAGGCTGTCGATTTGAATAAAGAATTGGGCTCTCATGTACAGCTATGGGACAGCTGCCCTGTTATTGAGAGTGTGCGTGGGCAGAGGGTCCACACAAAGTCATAAAATCATGTCACAATCATGTCATCATAAGCCCAATTTATAGGCAAGCTGCATTATGTGTTGTTACCATCAGGGCAATTATTTTTATACCAGTATTACCACTGCTTCTGTTTATCTGAATGGTAGTGTTTTCATATGAGGCTGGCAGGGAATAGGCAAAGAATGAGTCACGTCTCTAGTGGAGCCATCAGACTTAATGTGATCAAAGGCAGGTAATCATCTTCTGCAGATATATAATTCGCTATTAATAGCCTTTGTAACTCTAAATTTAACCATGACAAATGATTGTATTTCTGAATCATTTTACAGACCGCTCACGCACCCCCATCTTTCCTTACCCATTTCAAAGAGCCGCTGCTACTGGCCCAAATGTGTCACACCTAACAAGGCTCGCTGCAAATGTAGCATGTCAATATGTGTCAAGCCTCATTCATCAGCTATCGCTCTTTATCTCAGCTGTCACTCTTGTTTCACATTTCACCACCGAGAGGCTTGACTTTGCCCGGAGCTTGTGTAGTTCAATTCCACCCCCAGGTCCTCTGCTTCAAGGTGTAAAAGCAATGGCAATCACAGTCCTTGCTAAACCCAAGTGTGACAAGGGAAAACAGAGAAGGGGTTTGGGGCACAGAAACTGTGTAACCAGCTGATTTTGAATCTCTCAGCTGATTTTTTTATTTTTTTGGTACACGCAGCGTCCAATGATTGACATTATCTGCTCTTCTCTCATTAACTGGTTGTGACAGGCATGGGAATCTCACACCTGCATGACATACTTGTCTACTGAGTGTCAACATACTGACATACAGTAACACATGTTGGGTCCTTTTTTTTAACCAGTTTTTAATCCGTAACTCTCACTAAAAAGAAACATACTTCAATATGTTGTATATGTTTTGTTCCCAGGGTCTAAAAGGTGACCCAGGGCCAGTTGGTCCAGTTGGTCCTGAAGGCAACAAAGTGAGTGAGTCTGCCCATACAGACTGGCCCGGACAAAATGACACCATAATTGTTTTTCGTTATTCTTTTTCAGATGAAAATAGATACTTCAGGGAATCAACTTGACTTTCATGAGCTGTAGTGTCAATAACAAGTTTGCTCATCTGTTTGAAGTGCTGCTATGATTGTTACTCCAAACATGGCCAGCCAAAGAATATTGTTATTGCTATCATAACTTAGCAAGAACTCATTGATGGTCCTATAGAGTAGCTTATAGCCCCGGCTGAGAGAAAATGTCCCGCTCACTATATTTGCAGAGTATTTGTATATTCATAGGGAGAGCCGTTTGTAATAGACATAGCCAACAAAATCCCTTTATCTTGCTCTCTCCAAACTGTCTTTTATTATAAAGCCTTCAGCAAAGATGTGGATTGCATATTATTGCCTTCTTGTTTATGGACCCCTCACAGGGACTCTTGATTTAGAATGTGTTTGACATTTGGTCCCAAATATTAGAAATCCAAGAGTTACGTAGGTATGTCATGTACAGTAGGCTATGACTGGTGTGATAATCCTGTGATTTAAGACAAGCTGGACGTGCAGTAGAGGAGTTTGATGCAAAACTTTATCTGCAGGTTTTTTATAGTCTGTTCACTGACATCACTGACATGAATTAGATAAACTCTTGTTGCAATGCTGAAAATATTGGTCTGTTTTAAACTTTACTTTTCATTTCATCCCATTGTGGGATTATTTTCCATGTATGAGAAGAAATGTTCTTCCTGTAATTAGTTGCCATATCTCCAGCACTTTCATTTTTTCCTCCCTTATTGGGGCTTTTTTTGTTGTTGTCTTTTGGAAGAACTCATCATATAATTGTAGGTGCAATGCTCTGTCTGCCCGCCTTGAAGTTATAATGAGGTCTGTGTGTTTCTGTGAAGACAACGGAGAATCACAGCGTATTTTATCCTATTTCCGGATGGGATGGTGGGGATGGGGGTGGAGAGAACGTTTGTTTGTATTGAAACTGACAGAGGGAGGCAGATTTGGAATATAAAGTAATGAGTCCCTTGCATATCCCATAGCAGGTATATTTTAGCTGTGACATTCATTTAGACAACAAAATGGATATGATCTACAAACAGCTTTTTTTCCCCCTTCATCCACATCTGATGAACAGGTATTGCCAGATTTAAAGTTCGCTGATCCTCAACTCAGAGCTTAATAACGTACTGTTGGGATTGCGGTGTGAAGGGGAGAGACTACAACAATATTGGACAATGATACATGAGTTTTATCTGAAAAGACAAAAAACAAGTGAAGCAGTAAAAAGCATGTGAGATCATTGCTTACATTGGGTAATGCGTAAAAGAAAAATGTTCTTGACTGCCTGTATGTCACAGTCACCAAACAATGTTATCATACCTGGCCATTGTCAATACTGTACTGCAAAGCTTTTACATGATATAGTACGGCTGTGTTTATTTTAAGGCCTGTCGCATTTAATGGCACCAGCCCATGAGCCAATCTGACAGCTTGAAAGTCATCGGACTTCATTTCAAGACGTACTGTAAATACCATAGTGCATATTGAGATATTACTGCTACGCATAGTAACGACCTGACCTTCAGTTTTTATCACAAACATTATGACTGGCCTTTAGGCTAAATGTTTAAAAGTCAAAAATATATAGCTGTAGCCATTTCTAATGCAAACAGAATGTTAAAGATGCAGTTGACTGAAGATTTAACTCTTTTTTACTAATTGTTATCTTCCTTCACAGGGTGATGAAGGTCTGCCTGGAGATCCGGGGCTGCCAGTAAGTTCACACTGTTACATTTACATCTCATTATGCTGTAAGGACATTCAAAGGAAGTATAAATATTGAAATGGACTCATGGGGGTGTGAACTGAAATAGCTGGACTGAGCTTTGTAAATATCGCAGCCTTTTGGCTGACCGGTTGCTACACACGGTGTTAAAATGTCTGGCCCACAGAGATGGAAAGTGAGGCACTCAGGTGAGCAGTGTCTGTGTCACGTTACCATTACCTGGGAATGGGTCAAACAAGGAGCAGATAGACAGGGCTCAGTGGGCCTCCTCACTTTGGCCAAAAAGGATAAGGATGAGCAGCCAGGCAGAGAAGAATAGAGCTCCTAGCCTCAGGGTGGGGGTGAAGGTTTGACAGGTAGTCGCTGGCTGTATCCCACATGGGTGAGACATGCACTTTTTGGGTTGGTGACTGTCCCTGCTGACTTCTTCTTTGCAGACACCAGGGAAGAACGACACCGCACTTTATGTATTTCGATCTCATAATTGGACTGGCTGTACTAGCGCTTCCTCTGTGGTCTTGTAAAACCGAGAGGACAGAGAACATAACCCAGAAATGTGCTCATTCCAGTGCCCACACAAATTGAGGGTACATGTGTCAGCGGACAGCAGATATATGTACTAGCAGATGCTTGCATAGTCACCTATCATCACATATAGTGAATGTGTGGGCACAGATGCAAACACACACGCATGCTCTCGACGCATTGTAGCCATGGAGTTGACGGCTGCTGGAGATTAAAGGTGTACTGCGGGTGGTTAGCTAATTATGTACACATCATGAGGGGATCTGCCTGCCAGTTTTAATCACCACTGGAGTGATATAAAAACGGTGTCCTACTGCTTCTGGCTTGCCCCTTTTATGTCACCACAGTGCCTACGATACCCACGGAACACTGCTGCCATCCATTAGCTTTTCTCCAAAGCTAATTTTAAGGACAAGCAAAACAACAATCTTTCCCTGTAAAGCGAACATGTTTTTTTTGCCAAACTTCCTCACATAATGCCAGTAAATTGGGTGGTGAGTTTGAGCAGAAAATGCTGTGAGGAAGTTATTAAAGTAGTGGGTGAATTTGCGTCGTGCATTGTATTGCTTGTTACCACCCAAGGTCAAAAATCTGTTCTCACAAGCCAACAAAAGTTGTACCACTGTACATGAATAATTGATTTATAATCAAAAGCACTGCATGGACTGAGGCATGTTTTATTTAGGGTGTCACAGGTCAAAGCTGTCACTCTTTTCTTATAGATACAGCTGCAAATATCTCCGTTATTATTGTTATTTCTTTGCATGAGGCCTCTGACTAACGTGAAAGACATATGTTATTGAATGTCCATTTCTGCAGCTGTTTCCAAGAAAAGTCGACAGAGTTTGACTTTTGGATGCCAATTGAAAGAGGACACCAATTATTCGGCCTGTAGTTGAAAGTCGAGATGCTGTATGTGGCCTTGTGTCCATTCTGTGGCCTGGTGGATAGACGACTCTGTCTGCCCTTTAATGACAGTGGCCAGCAGGGTGTCTGGGGAGTTGTAATAGCCATGCCCTGACTTCTCTTCGGGTCATCGCAGCCAAAGATAATTACCTCCTGACCAACTGTGTTGCTTACCTATAACTGGAAAACATGTGTCGTTAAACAATATATGAATGACGGGAGTCTTGCTTTCAGGCTGACTGACTGTTTTTGATTGTTGATTGATTCCTAGGCTGACAAAGAATGTCTCAAAGGAGATCAGGTACCCAAGTTAATGTTGTTTTCATCAAAAATATGGAAACATTCTGTAATTTTGAGTTCATGCTTTTGTTTTCTTGTTAACATAACTTGTTATTTGTCACATTCAGGGCCCTCCAGGTGACAAAGGAGAGGAGGTAATACATGAATTGCTTCATTTAATTAAAGTATCTCATTGTCCTCTGTTTTTCTCGTTGGACAGAGTGCATATATAATGTTCCCAAGCAATCAAGTACAACTATTAGGTTCAACAAGCAATTATTGAAGCACAATAAGTATATCTTCGCACAAGAACTCCCAAACAAAATCACCACTCAGTATGTACCTTGATTAACTTACTAATTGTTCCTTATCAAGATACTGTGTAGAATAATGAGATGCTTTGATCAACTGAGGCTGAACATTGCCTATTAAAGGGATCCTGGAGAAGTCCCCTAGAAACTGTGAATGAGCGAGAATGGGAAACTGCAGCTGTACATATTCCCTTCTATCTATTCATGCAATTTTAACTAAGCTAATGCTGCCTCTCCTGTCACTGCAAATAAGCCCACTGTTTATCCACTCTGTTGAGAACATGTGACACAAACATCTGTCTGCATCTGCTTTTACAAGAAGCAAGCCATAATATCTTCCTGCAATACTGCATGAATGTAGCACCCAATTCACTGTGATGTCTGTCCTATTCCCCAGGGATTTGCTGGGGTGCCGGGTCAGCCAGGGGAACCAGGCAAAGAGGGCAAAAGGGTGAGTAAACACAAACAGTCCACCAGTTGTGTTTCCTGGCTAGTGGTTGTACTGACTGAGAGGACCTGGCCTGGGAAAAGGCCAAACAGCAGCTGAGAGGCTGTTGTTGTTTTAGGGGAGGCTAAGATGATCTGTAGCAGAGAGAGAAGAGAGGGGTGGGCTTGTTATTAATTAATGGGCTTCATGGCCAAGGGGTCACACACGCTCACAGTTTGTCCGGCAGCACGCATTATTAAGTTTCCAAAAGGTCAGCTTAATTTGGGAGAGAGACTATGTCCATGACTAAATCAACTGAAACATTACACCAGATGTATTTATTTGTCACCTCTGACTGGAGTAACTGTGGTTAGGAATACAAGTGTCAGGATTTGTGTTGTAAATCAAAAGTACCGGTATACATTTACTACAATAGGAGGGCTGCTTTTCAGAGCTTTGTACCATAAAACCATCAGTCTGCGTGGGAGCATTTGCAAAAGTCCGGTACATTTGAAAAGTACTTTTATATCACGTATAGTGTTCAGACATTCTTTTTGGGTGATTATAACGCTATGGTGGGCTGAAGACCAACAGCAAGAATGTTATTGTTCCCAGACATCACAGCTGAAAGGCAGTGTTCAAGAACAGGTGGAGAGAGTGTCCTTTTGTGTCCAATCGACTTGGTGTGACTACCTTCACCTGTGTCACCGTGATTAAAAATAGGATCTTCCGACTCAGTATTCCGGCTTATATTACAGAAAACGGTCATTAAACAGGAAGAAAACATTTGGCTTCGCTGGAGCAAAATATAACATACCGTATACTGTATAGCAGGTCGAGCCATAGAGCAACCGTGTGTAGGTCTGGCAAACGTTCTTTTCAGATTAAGAAAGAGCCGAGACGATGCACAATACTTGGAGCATCTGGACACAAGTATCTCAAGAATTCCCCCCCTCTGTGTGTGAATACACTCAAACTCAAAACTTGGTCCCATAACAGTAACAATTTATGACCTGTCATCAGTTGTATTATTTCTCAATGGATCATTTCCCACAATGCATGAAGTAACAGGATCTAAAAGTGAGCTCAGAGTTTGTTTTGTTGGGGTTTTTTTTGCCGATGTTGTCCCTGCACTTCATTAGCTAGGTGTTAAGTAGGAAACAAAGCGTCAAAGGGGGCAGGATAATGGGATAATGGTGTCCGCTTTTATTCTGGAACAGTTTCATGAAGAATCTTTCAATCATAATTGGTTTTGAGGAATAGAAAGTCACTCTGCGTTTGATGTTGTGGCTTCTTGGTTTCCTATGTACTCGTAATATTCCTGCACTAGTAGTAGTACTACTAGTGTAGGTGAAACAGCCACAGGGCTTTAAGCTGGCCATTTCAGACTTGCTGCTGTTGTTGTAGTAGCTGTTGCTGAAGACACAGTTCTGATCTATTAATACCCTGTCTTTGATGACTGGCTGACTTCATGGTGACTGTTAATGTGCTAAGGTTTCTGCTTATTCTTAGCTCTACAAGTCACATGTGGCCTCGAAGTTGTTGACCAATCTGTGTTTCTGCAGTTTGACAGCCTATTTTAGGGAGGTGGACATGTATCATTATCAGGGGCTAGCTAGTGGCCAGCTGATCCAGCGAGAGACTCTCACCCAATTAGCAACTCTTGTCCACGCTGTCGACTTATTGGTTCTACAAAGAGCCGTAGCTGATGTACAAGTGATGCAGAATATCTTGACATCGAGTGACCACTCCGAAACCTTCATAGAATAGCTGGCAGTAGAAAGCTTTCATAAGGCCTTAGATTCAAGCCAGAACATCTCTCACACTGTCCACTTGAATTAATTGTTGAGGAAAATACAAGCACTCGAAGCAATTTAGATTTACTCCAAGGAGACATGGAGGGCATAGCATGGAGAAGAGGAATGATGCCATTTTCACTGATCCTTCTCTGAAGCTCAAAGCAACATATGCAAGAGTGGCTATCAAGGGCAGTCACCCAGCCCCCTCCGGGACCCCGTGTAGAACATTCACAGAATCCTGATTTTATATTATTACCCTGATGGATGGCTAATTCAGTTTCTCAGGGTGGAGGTAAGGGCCAGTCCAACCATATCTATGAATTTATGGGAATGTATTTTCCCCACATTACACATTGCCATCAATAGTAATGTGAATGGCTTGGTTTTATCTATTATGGATGGCATTGACACAGAATGGCAGGCAAAGAGTATGACTTTGGGATTCAGTGGCACATTACAACAGATCAAAACAGAAGATGGGGAGCACTAGTAAAAAAGGGATATGTCCCCCTCACCAACTGCATTGTGGTAAAATATTAATCAGGTGCTCTGATGGTGTGCTAAGCTCTGTGTTGTCATTGTTGGCTGACCCTCTCCTGCACAGGTTGAGGAGAAGAGATATGCGCATGCTGAAGGGAGCAACCTTGGAATTTTAGAGTTTTGAGTGTAGTCATTTGTATTTGTACTTCGTATTCTCGTACAGCATGCAGTGCAGAGAAGCGTCTGCCTGACACCCATCAATATATACATTTGAGGGACTGTATAATAAAGTGTTGTGCTCATACAAAAGTGATGTGGGATTTGGTGGAAGAAAGCATTGCAAAAGTACCAAATGACATATTTTTGCATGCTTAAAATAGGACTGAAAACCTACGCTTGCCTGGTCAATGCGCACTGCTTCCTTAAAGCCAAAATACACTGGAATGCCACAGCAAGCTTGGTTTATTCATGCCGTGCCAAGTCTTCCCAGCATACTTTGCTTCGGTAGTTGGCACAGGGATGTGAGTGGGTTCAGTACAGACATGGGTTCACCCCTGGGCAAGGCAGTAGGTTCCTGTGGATTAATAAATAATCACCTTAAGGAATCCCCCAATACAAGGTGGGTCTTGGAGTTTTAATCCAAGCCTAACACCACATCAAGCCTTATTAGCGGTATAAATGTACCTGTATAGCCTTATAAATAGATTCTCTCTATACATACTGTGATATTATTTTGGTTGAAAAAACGATTTACTTTCTTCTTTGATTCCTTTCGGTGCATTTTGCTGAATCTAAATAATGTGTATGCAACACATTTTAAATCACCTTTAATCAGCTGAGGGCCTCTACTGTGCCAAGTACTGTTTGTTCTGACATGCTGTAGCTGTGCTAGTGCAGAGATGATGAAACTCCAGCAAGACCTAGAGGAAGCACAACTGCTCTGTCTACGGATGTGTTCTTTTCAAATGAATAATGCAGTGTAGATCCTCTGACTGATTTATTCTTTTATTTATTTAAATTTAGATGGTTGGTTATTTATTTAGTTGTTTTGCTTAGAGAGTGAACTAGTTGGCACAGTTTGCAAATGATATGGATTGATAACTGGTGATTTGTAGCTCAGTAAGAAACATGCAGGTATCTTTTATCATGCATGAGGTGAAGAGATTTCTGTAATCTTTGATGCTACAAAGACTTAACCATCAGGTAAGAGGTGACATTTTCAACTGCCTGCCTTCCGAATTGTCTCTAGTGTCTCTCCCCTGTTAAATGGCTCCTGTTTCTCATTGAAATATTCGTCCGCGTGCCTCAGCTGTGGATGTGGGTGGATGACACAGTGCCACATGAGATGCCTGCCTCATATGTCAAGGAGATAAGAGAGGACAAAAGTCACAATAAAGGTGAAAAGGCTCGGAGACCATTACTTGCTAGGCCACACAAGATGACCTAGTGGAGGGAAAAGCATTTATAGAGAGACTTTCAATCTGGAAAGAATCATTTTCTCACTAAATCATATGACGTGCCACTCGCAGAAGGTTTAGCTTTAATGCATTTATATCCTGTGACTGTAGACATGCAGCAGTATGGAGCCTTGAACCAGTGTGCTTTTTATTTCCCCAGCACATTTAGTGATGTCATAAGGCATGTAAACCTTAGCCTATGCCGGAAGTCGAATGAAACTAGCGAAGAACTTTGGTGCAAACTTGATGTTCACTTGTTGAAGACAGTAAATCGACTCTCCTCCAGTTATATGGCAGAGATGGCTATTTGTAAAATTCTTTATCTTAAAACTTCAACTGCTGTCACATCGCATTCGTCAGCTGTCATCACTTCACATCATGTGATAGCACGGTCCCAGATCAATGCACGCCAGTAATTGTAGTGCAGGCACACTTTCGGTTCTTCACTCGTGTCAAAATATGTAACAAACCTCAGCGACAGCTGCCTGGGCACTTTAAAGTGGTATGGATATAACCTGTCAAAGCGGGAGAAAAGATTGTTTGTCTTGTCTTTGCTTGCAACTGGAATGGTCCAGATTTCCAAAGAAGAGTGAGGTAATTGTGTCGTTTGGAAGTGATAGTGGTGTTTACATTTTCCATTCAAGCCCTGTGCTGAATGACTGAGACAGCTGTCTATAGCTCCTGACCAAAGGCAAAGGCATGTTTTTCTCCATATATTTTGTTCCTTCGTCCTTGTGCCAGCATATGTCTCAAAAGGTCATCCGTACATTGGATGCTTAAAGGGCCAGTGTGTAGCATTTCGGGGGATCTATTAGCAGATATGTAATATAATATTAATAATGACGTTTTCATTAGTGTATTTGCACCTGTTGTGTTTTCGTTAGATAAGAATGAGTCCTTCATATCTACAAAGTGAGCTGGTCCTCTTCATGGAGTCCGCTGTGTTTTTGGTGGCGGAACTTTCCAGTTGATGAACTCGCTGGACCAATTGTCCTTCCTGTAATCCAGCTCTGGGTTTTTGCCTTATGGGTCCACCACCTCGGCCTCCTCTACCAAGAAAGGCTGTGAGCAATACTCGCTGAACAGCGTCACTATCATGTGCAACGCGGTTTTTGCCTTGGTCAGGTCTTCAGCTGTGCACTCTTCTTCTTCTTTGGCTTTAGGGGGATTTTTGAATGGCCACCATTGGTGAAAGGAGGAATGGACATTGGTATTCAATTGAATATAACCACACCACTCGATACCACTAAATCCATTTGACCACTATTCCCTTCAGACTAGTGGTCAA